GACATCTTAAAAATCGTACCCGTGGGAACGCGCAAACCCGAGCCTGATAGAGTCGAGGATTTCAAAAAACTTAAAAACGGTATAATCGACAAACTGACATTTTCAATCAGTGGTGAAAAAGGACAGATCATCAACAACAAGGGTGAGGGTATCATTATAGAGTTGGAGATCGTTTAATTTTAAAATCTTTTTATATTAAAAACATGAGTTTAGATGGTAAGGCGCTATACCCCGATATTTCTGGAGATGTAATCCAATTAAATAGTAACGTTAACGAAGAAACAAAAGTGTACAGACTTAAAAAGATTGAAGAGATTCGATCTTTAATCTTGAAAGAGAGAGACCACCGAGAGCGCACTTATAAAAAAATAAAGAGAATGATCGACACTATTAATTACGTAGAGATAGGATTAGAAGGATTGGGGGCTATAGCGGGGGCTGTCAGTATTCCCGCTCTCTTGGGTGTTATATCAGCCCCCGTTGGATTGGTGCTAGAAGGAACGTTTATAGGCGCTTTTGGTGTAGATATTCTGCTTAGAATCGCGTCTAAGCGATTATCCGCCAAGCTGAAAAAGCACGACCAGATTAAGATATTAGCGGACTCCAAACTTAATACGATTGAAGAATATGTGTCTCAAGCCATCAACGACGGAGATATATCGCACGAAGAGTTTACATTGATTACGAGAGAGCTCGCCAAATTTAACGAGCTTAAGCAAAAAATTAGAGCAAAGACCAGCACAAAGCTTCAAAAAATTAAAAACGATACAGACTTTGAAAAAGAAGTTAAAAAACGGGTAGACGAACGGCTGGCAAAAGAAAAAAAATCTCTTATCGAAAAACTTACAAGTTCAAATTCTCGGTAAATAAACATTATGAAAGCGAACCGCCGAGTTATACCTCTATTTCACCTCTTAGGGCTACACCCTCGGCCCCGCCTTTATTGTAGTGGTCATCATATCTTTTTAGTGCCTTATTAAATTGATTTTGAGTCACTTTAAATAAATCTCTAACTCGTTCTTTGTCTAATCCAACGACGTGATGATAACACGCCGCTATTAATGATCGTTTGACGCAACCATTCCCCCTCAATGTTTTGTAATTAACGAGCTCGTTATATTTATTGATTGTTTCTTGGACATCTTCTGAGCCTTGCTCTGGGCACACAGACAAAACAAGTTTCTCCACAGTTTTTCTTTTGTTTCTTTTTAAAATTGACCAATTGATACGATCTTCTTGCGCATTTTCTGCCGAAAAATCAAAGTAACGTGAGACTATTTCACCGCACGTTTCACAAACTAAAAAACCATTCTCGATGATTATATGGTGATCGCACTTGTCCCCAAGTTGTGACGTCCCAAAGTATTCCATCTATTTAATAAACTTTAAATAAAAATGATTACAATTTTAAATAAAGAATTAAATATCACCCTCTCTTTTTTTTTTATTTTAGCACCTTTCTTTATATAATTGAAATCAGATCTCTTAGCGCTTATAAATAGCGCCCTCTGTTTTTTATCGGTACAATAACCCTTATCATAAAATTAAATACCGCCCTCTGTTTATAATACATCACCACCAATGAATGGCGCCCTCTGTTGATTTCTTTTATTATAATTGCACCTGGACTCGATAAATCGATCATTTATTATACCGCCCTCTGTTTATATTATTTTGATATCCATCACCACACAGAAATAGCGCCCTCTATTGAGTTTGTATTATAATTGACTTGGACTCGATAAAACGATCATTCATACATTCCCTTTATTTGATATTCATATAATTTATACAGTAAAAAGCCACTCTGAGTGGCTTTTTTGTTGTCATTCAAATTAGCTCATTTGATATTCATATATTATAATTCATATATTATAATTCATATATTATAATTTATACAGTGGCTTTTTACTGAGTGGCTTTTTACTGTATAAATTAGCTCATTTTATTAGCTTTTCATACATCTTAATATATACAGTAAAAAGCCACTCTGAGTGGCTTTTTGTTGCCATTCAAATTAGCTCATTTGATATTCATATATTATAATTTATACAGTAAAAAGCCACTCTGAGTGGCTTTTTACTGTATAAATTAGCTCATTTTATTAGCTTTTCATACATCTTAATATATACAGTGAAAAGCCACTCTGAGTGGCTTTTTGTTACCATTCAAATTAGCTCATTTAAATGACAGTAAAAAGCCACTCTGAGTGGCTTTTTCGTTGTCATTCAAATTAGCTCATTTAAATAGCTTTTCATACATCTTAATATATACAGTAAAAAGCCACTCTGAGTGGCTTTTTCGTTGTCATTCAAATTAGCTCATTTAAATAGCTGTTTGGTTTGTCATATATCAACAGGTTTTTACTCAAGGTCCACACTGGCCACAGTTGCAAAACACAGCATGTGTCCATTTTAATCCTACTTCTAAATTACTTGTAAAATAGTTTACAATATGCTTTTTATTTTTTCTGAAGAACGTTAAGGGTAGGCAACAGTGCAGTAATTGCGGGTACTTCTTGACGAGGTCGTAGAAGTCTCTGTGTGTTTTTGCCCAAGTTTTTTTTATCTTACAATTGTTTTTCAACCAAGTGTTAAAAGTTGCTGAATTTACCTTCCCCCTTTTCTTATCCCTTTTGAATGTTTTAAAAGAAACTTCCAGCCAATTACCGAAGTTTGCCGCGTTGTATAAAGCACAGTTTTCCCCTCGTTTACAAACTGCATTACAGTGTTTTACGCGATTTTCTAAATCGCGTAAACTATACCGTTCATGGTCCACCACGCAGGGGATAACACTATCATTCACTCGATCGTCTTTATCATTATATTTAGCTACAATTTCGTTATAAATATCTAGGGAGTCAACGGTTTTCTTTACTCTTTCAGGCTGTTGATCTTCTTCTTCCGGTTCCATTTCATTGCTTGTTAGAATTGGTAGAGGTGGTGGCTGATTGAAGTCTGGCGTTACAGACAAAACTTCTAATGCCATGTCGTGGCGGTGTTCCTCCAAGTGGCGTTTCGCAATCCCCCACTGTTCCATCATGCTGCCGATCTTTTCTGCAATCCACTTTCTAGTATCGTTGACCATACTATTTGCTAAGATTAATGCTTCTTGGCTGTACGTCATGTCAACTGTGTGCGTTGGGTAAGCCATCGTCTAAAAAAACCAAACAAACAAAACAAAAACAAATTAAGCATTTATACTCAACTCTAAAGCGTCCCCTTTAAGTTTTAGACTACACCTTTAACGCACCGTATAAAAGTGTTAGTTCAAAGGAAGGTCAACCATTGTGCTAGCACTCCAATTGTGTATAAATTTTGTCAAACGCAATAGTGTATGGATGATCGTGATCACCTGCATTCACGGTGTGATCAGTTGCCCAATATATTCATGGTTTCAGCCCAGTTTTGGCTGTTTTGTATATAGACGTTCTGGTGAGTTTTTTAAACCTTACTACAACATTAATATAGATGAATTACTAAAGCCTTACCTTTGAAAGCAAAAGATGGATCTTCCTGTTCGAACTGCGGGTTGTAAGGCTACAGATGTACTTTGCAGAAACCAATCTTTTTAAAGTGTTTAATAGACTTCCGTCAAAACTAACCAACAAAATGCAGTATCAGAGACAGCTTTGATGTGATGTGCATGCGATGGCTCAAGCTCTATCTATGGTGCAACTATCACAAAACACTACTTTTATGCTAAATTCTTCCTTTAGAAATATATTTCTATTTTTGGCAGTGATTGACTGATCACGTGTTATTTTGTAATACCCAGTTGTAGATTATGACAAGTAATACCCAGTTTTAAAACTGATTCATCCTGATTATATGTGGAATTTCATTTTCGTTTTTTAATACCCAGTTGTAGATTATGACAAGTAGAACTGAGTCATCCTGATTATATGTGGAATTTCATTTTCGTTTTTTAATACCCAGTTGTAGATTATGACAAGTAAAACTGAGTCATCCTGATTATAAGTGGAATTTCATTTTCGTTTTTTGTACAATATGCTAATTGGCTCGTTGCAGGGCTTATGTCAGGTTGTGCAATCAAGAATGTTTACCCAATCTCCTGACGTAGGTCTATAAACAGCCCGACCTTGAATGTGTTGACTGAGGCTCTATAGAATTTGTCATAACAGCGCGACCTGCATTGTTATGACAGCCTGACTTTAAAACACGAGGAAAAACTGAGGTCACTTAAGAGTCAAGGCAAATATAGACTCGCGCACCAGCCGCTGTGAGTCTGTGTTGTGATCTCCAAGGGGGCGACTGTAAATATGAAGGGCCTGGCCTTATTCCGAGACTGAGACATTGGGAGGGAGATCATTGGGAGGGATCAGGGGGTGGGAGAGGGGAGGGGGCAGAGGGTGGGGGTAAAGTCTGGTACCTGCCCTTCTCCCCATTGGCCCTGTACTACCCCCAGACCTATGGCAAAGTCTGGTATCCCCCACTTATACCTACTGATGCTTTGCCAAGCGCGGTTCAAAACATGTTCATACGACGAGGGACATTTGATCTAGAACACCAGTTAAACAAAAAGTGACATAGACATCAACTGAGGACATAATTAACAAGCCTTTAAAAAACTTTTTGTTATGAAATTGTTTAATTCCGCTACAGAAAATAAGGAGCTTGGGAGACAATATAACTAATTTCGATAGAATCGCAGTTTTGTACAACAAATTGGACTTTGTAGATGGCAGGGACAAGTGAAACATACAGTTTGTATGGTGCGAGTTCCCAATTCATGGTTGATTTTGTTACACTTGATTACAATTACTGATTCAATACTTAACGGCACCCGTGTGCACGGACTTACATTGTTTTACAGTGGTTATACTGCTTTTCCATAGCGAGCGGTACTGGATTTGTTTACCTTAAAAATTATTTCTAAATTCAAATTCCGCTGGGAGCTAAATCCACAATCCATCCACCACATTTGACTTGTGAAATACAGCATGGTTTTGAAAAAAAAAAAAAAAAAACTTAACTCACTATGTATCCTTTCCCCGACTCCGGCTCCATGCGGCAGTAGACCTGCATATTCTGGCATGCGTGCTGGATGGTATACACACCGCTAGTGCTCTGACCAGCATCCAAGATCTCTTGACAATCTGCAGGCAGCTCCGTTATGGACCAATTGCTTGATAACAAAAGAGAAAATAATTGTCATGTTTTCTAATAAAACAAATGAAAAGGGAACAGATTCCGATCCGCTCTCTTCGGGTTAGTGTTGACAATTGATATGCTGCTGTTAAAACATCAAATAAACTGAATCTACATGTACCACAAATAATCAACAAAATCACAATTGTTCACAAAATCAAGAAACATTTTATGAATCGCTATAATGAAAAAAAAAGAGTTATGCCTATTAATATCTCGTACATAACTGTTTCAAGAAATACGCACTGCAATAAATAAAATACGCACACAAATAATTATGTATGTAATAAGATTGCCAATCTGCAGGTATCTGATGAGAATCGACTCTTGTAGGGGATGGTCTTGCATTGCCCACGATGCCCCGGGGCCCAATTCCCGATGCCAATACGCCTCGTGACTTATACCGTGTTACGAATAAAATCAGTAAATATGTCATTTTTTTGAATATCGATATTCGAGAGATTTGGTAGAGAGAATTTAGAAACAACGGTTTGATGGTTAACCCGTGGCTAATGGTTAACCCATGTGGTTAACTGACTTAACCTCAGTGTTGTAGTCGAGTACTTTTTTTTCCGAGTACCGAGTACTGCCGAGTACTTAGGTTGCCGAGTATGAGTACGAGTACGAGTTCTTGTACCTCCGAGTAAAAGAACGGGTCTCCGAGTACGAGTACGAGTACGAGTACTTGCATTTCCGAATACGGCCATACGGCAAAAGGTTCATTGTGCGTAATTGGCCCAGGCCCAGTCAGACCGATATATTTAACCACTCACGGCTAGCTGTTAAATGTGCTTGTCCGGACTGTACTTGCACAGAGGCAAATCAGGAAATCTCGATTTCTACACAAGCCAATCAACCATTTCAAACTGAAAGTATCTATAAAATAAGGCCATCATGGTAGTTGAATTAAGCTATATCATCCCCCGAGTACTGCTATGCGAGTACGAGTACTTTAATGGTCGAGTACAATTTCGACATGTCAAGTACGAGTACTTTGCTGCCCGAGTACAAGTACCGTTATTTCGAGTACGAGTACTTTGACATCCGAGTACGAGTATGAGTACTCCAAAAAGTACTCGAGTAGTACTCGAGTACAAGTACCGAGTGCGAGTACTACAACACTGCTTAACCTGCGTTCACTTCTCGATCGGAGCACAGCTTAACAGAAGAAAAGGTGGACGTGAGACTATAACGGTTACCTCAGAAAACCGTACCAGTGCCGTATCGATTAAAATGTTGGTTTCCCATTCAGATTAAAATGTGCTCTCCAACAAAATCATTTGTTTTGCCCGACAAATATTCACCTTTACATGGTTCAATGTTACGATAAATACTTTCATTTGCGAGTACAATAGTACCTGGTTCTTACATTATTGATTGTAAAAGAGGGGCAGGGACAAGTCTATGTCGTGCGAAAACCAAATTATTGTCGTGCCACATGTAATTTGATAGTTGTAAAGACTTTCTTTTTTGGGGGGGGGGGAATGAAACTCAAAAACGGCATGAACAGACCATCGTATTTTATTTTGTTAGTGAACTTGCTGTTACTGGTAATGTTTCTTCAACGTGGGATATTTTTTTTTCAACCCATCCCCAAAACATTATATAGAGCGAATGTTCTTTATCCAAAATATTCCGAACTTAGTTCTGGGCCCCGTAATATCCCCCCTTGTTGCACTGTTGTCTCATTATGGGTCCTTTCTATTACCGGTAACGCTTACCATTTGGGTCGTGTCATCATTTCACACCCTTTAAGAGAGACTGCTTTACCCTTCCAGGTAACCCATTGTATCCCCATGTAATCATCGACTGTTGCGTTTGTGTAGTACAAGCCGTTCAGGTTGCTCTTGATGTAGCTACCGCAGAGAATGTACCACCAGCCTCCGTGGAATTTCTCAGCGCAGTTTTCACCTTTGGTGTTGTCATGGTCTTTATCTGGAGTTGAGAAGTATATGTATTCGAAAGGACCTATCCGGAGTGAATCCCCTGTGTGCATAAGAAAGGAAGGATCGTCAGACCTTGTTTGTAATAGTACATTAATGGATAACGAATGCTGCATGGACATTAACATAAAGGGACTACTTATTAAAATGACATTTGAATGGATTCCTTTCTTTTCATTTTTTTTGTTAGGCATGCTCGCCTTGGTTTTTTCATGGTCGCCTTGATCTGTTTATTTGTTTATTTATTTATTACATTTCTTTAGCCAAGGTATGCCCAAACAGTTCGAAACTGGTTTCCATCGGGGCCCTGCATACAACAACAAATGACTACAAACATGTATACAAATACAATACATTACAAACACAATACAATACTGTACAATACAATGGAATTTTAGAGGATGCCAAATTAGTTAATTAAATAATAAATTGAAAATTTATGTTGCTAACTTTGCCTTAAAGATTAAATTTCTGTGGCTTACATTGCCAAAAAGATTAAGTTCTGTGGTTAACTTTGCCAAAGGGAAATACAATTAGACCAGCTTTTCTCTTTAAATAATAAGATAACCTGGGCAGTATTTTTGCCAGTGAAAATTAGGTAAGGCTTGTATTTATTTATTTATAAGTAACAAAGAATATATAAAAGGAACCACCTGGGTTATCGGTAAAGGTAATAATTAAATGCGACGTCACCGTAGCTCACCTCTTAGCTGTATAGCAAACCTGGTTCACTACGGCGACGAAGCAATGACCCACAGATAATATTATTGAAAATCACTGGAATAGCAAATATTATAAGATTAATACAATATATTGTAAAACTAGTATAACTACTTGTACAGTGTAAAACAACATTGTTAACGGGCTTTATAATACGGTGAATTCAGTCTACACAAACAACTTGGATCTAGTGTTCATGATGTAATTGCTGCCTTGGCACCAAACAAACTATTCAACAACAGTTTCAACCCTGCTACTTACCCGCTTTATGAGTTTCTATCGGCTGGACGTTTTGAAAAAAAATTGCGGTAAACATCCCTGAATTATTTTTTGTTATACGCTACTGATATTGAACATTCGTAATTCGTGTGTTATATCAGTACATGTATATATAGACAAACGGCCGAATGAAGCATCCATTTGGGAGACACAGAAACAGATTATCGCCTGCAATTCAACTGTCTGTATAATATGGTTTATCGTGTTTTTTGTGTGATTAGATGAGAGCAGCGCAGTTGTACCAGAATTATATCGTATACAATTATAAACAACAGTGCAATACATACTATGTTAGATAGGAGCAGTCTCAAAGTGAAGCTTATGAAAACAAGGGGTTTCTGTATACCTGCATCTCCACTCTCCTCACTGAAGCCATCGAAATAAAGCACGTAATTGCCCTCAGATGAGTATACGTTGAAAATCTCATAACGAACACGGGCTTCATCCCCATCGAATGCCTTCAGGGTGATGACCAGCTCCAACCCCAAGTTACGAGTCAGACTATGCAGCTTCTGGTTGCCCAGCCAAAACTCTCCGGTCAGATTCCCGAATCCCTCGGCGTACTCCTGCCAGGTTCGGTTGAAGCTCACCGAGCCGTCCTGGCGTCTCTGAAACACCTGTCAGAAACGATATGAGTGACGGTAAAACTGGGACACGTTTACCATCATCGCTTTATCCTTGTTCGGGTTTAACATTAAGGAATCAATTATGCTGTTCTAAGCAAAATCAAGGACTTTTTCTTTATTGGTGGACCTGCGTTTCAGAACACAAGTTGAAGCCATTTTTTGTTGGAGTTGGCAAACAAACTTAAAAAACACAGGCACACCCATGAACAACACTGGACATTTCAGACATTAACTAGAAAATCCATTAACCATTAACCAGTCTGTTCGTAACTTAACCTTTCATTTTATTTGGGGTAGAATATAAGGCTGGAAGTTCAGGCCAAAAAAGTCTCCGGTTTCTGGTATGGAGCTTGCCCTAAAAGTGGTGCGGCGACGCGGCTTTTTTTTTTTTTTTACCTGATTTGTTTTGCTTCAAATGTCGGCTGATGACTGCAAATGGTCCTCGACTAAACTTAGTGCAAATATATGGGAGTCCAGAGAGGCCACATAAAGCTTATTCTCGACCATAACCCAATCTAAAAACACGTTAAAATTGTGCAGCAGCAGGATTCCAGTCAAACCAGTGAGTTTGGCGGTTTTGAGACATCATCTTTCATTGAAAAAAAAACTTTGTCTTTTTGCCGACGCGCATGGCTACGGCGACGCGCGCGCATACCGGACACCGGAGACTTTTTTTTTTGGCCTTAGTAGCTTTAATCGCATTTTTTTTTATTAATGACAATAAACAAATTGATGATTACAGGAACATAATGAAACATATTTAGTTTGTATATGGTGCAACTTCCAACTTCCCGTTAGCTTAAGCGCATGTTTGTTAATTATCGTCACTGGTTCAGTTATCAACTGTACGCGTATGCAAGGACGTTCTTTCAGATTGCATTTCCTTAGCACCAACAACAGTACTCAGTGCAACAAGTTGAAAACACAATTGCCTGAAGTATTCTTTTTTTGTCAATGTCAAATACATTTCGGAGCTAAATTGCCAAAATATCTTTCACCCATGTTATAATTGTAAAATACAGAATGATTCTGAGAAAATAAGTAACTTTACTCACTATGTATCCTTTCCCCGACTCCATGCGGCAGTAGACCTGCATATTCTGGCGTTTGTGCCGGATGGTATATACTCCGCTTGTGTTCTGACCAGCATCCAAGATCTCTTGACAATCTGCAGGCGGCATCGACGGCTCAGGGGTGTTACTGAAAACTGGTGTCATGACTCCGAGCGTTGACTCCTCCAGTTTGCTCTCAGTGCAGTTGAACCAACGGCCGAAGACCTCAGCAGTCACCTCCGGCAGCATGTCCATATACAACGGTGGATCCTGTCCCTGCATCTCAGGCGCGTAGCGGTAGTAATGACTGCCCAGTCTGACCCCTGTACAGGTGCAAGGATCGCCTGATGGCAGGACAAATCTCCCCATGCGCTGGCCGCAACCGCGTGAGTCTAGGTCAATCATCAGAGTACAGATTCGGGCTGAGACCGAACTGACGACTGCATTATTCAGTGAGAAAAATAAAGAAACAACCAAACGAGTGAAAATAGTGTGAAACTGCATACAGGGCAAGAAGTGTGAGGGGACTATGGAGCAAGGCGCATCCAAGTTCTTGCCATGCCGAGTTTGTTTTCATTTATATCGCAGAAACGTTAAATTAAATACTAGTCAAAGACAAGAAACCTACCGGCAATTGCACGTATACGAATGCCAATTCATCACAAGAATTGGCCAATGTAGTGTAGAATTTGGACCCTATGAAATACTGACTCAATGGTTACATGTACTGCACATTTGTTAGGGAAGATAAAAGTCAAATGTTGGAGTCCATACAAGATAAAAGTTGGACCACTGTTCATAGCAGGACCATTCTGTAAATCCAGACGTACATGTCAAGCACTTTAATGACCTGCTGCTGGAAAAGTGAATGTGATGTGACATCTAATGAGCAGAAAAAAATACAGACCAAACTGAGGAACCACCACCTTAACGACATTGTACATGTACACCATGTGGTAGTATACGACGTACGTTGGATGTTACTGGATTGCCCAGTAGTCAAAATATAATGATAACATGGACATATCACAGATCGGCATGAAACACATGCAAACACATTAGAATGGAATGTTTTATGATGCACAGTCTGGAAACAACTTTGATTTTAAAGCAGTTTTAATATCCAACATAATCATATACATTTCCACCGAAATTGCAAGATGAAAAAAAATGCTTTTCCGAAAACTCCAGCCTGTGCCAAATGATGAATCAAGCACAATACCTTAAAATATGATGGGATCTTTACAACCTTTCAGGCCTTAAATTCACACTTCACGACGTCGTGAAAAAGTACTGTTCTTTTTTTTCCCTCTCAAAGCACTTAACAGCAATACTACCCCTTCTCGTTGGGATCATAAAACAACTATCTCAGCTCCAGCCCTTTAGGTGTATACACCTCGATGCTGCCATTTAGGCGCAAAGCAGCCAAAATCAATAACATGAACCACTTCTGCCCACGCATAGCAAGCCCAGGCTGGACTCGAACCCACAACCTGAACAATTTCCCACATAATTTGAGTTTGATGCTCCGGACCACGGAGCAACACCACTCCACTCATTAATCAAATAATACCACAGACCCATATAAATAGAATATTGGTTAATAACGACGTACCGATAGCAATCAGTGCTGCCAGCAATGCAGATGATATCCAGCCCGATCCCATGACTTGATGGCCCTTTCTCATTTTAAACATCTGAAGAGAAAAAAAAAAGAAGAAGAAAAAACACAAGAGTCAAACACGAAATAATGTTGAAGGCAGAAAATAATTGACCGATTGCGCGACCAATGTTTACATGTCATCACGTGACTTATAGTGGGTATTACGTCATCTCAGCTCATGCAGTGGGACGTGCAAAGACTACTGATGTGCTTATTGTACCGACAATCGGCTTTATTTTTTGATAAATAACACATATAATACACTTACGAAGCCCTTTTATTGTGGCATTGATCATATGAACTGTTTCATAAATTACCAGTACTATAAAATAAGTTTCTTTTGAGCTATGGTTAGACCATAGGTTGTTCCGTGTTGCCGCGTTGTGTGAAGCGTGAATGGAACTGTAGTTTGTCCGTGTCTATACGGCGGGTTGTGTGGTCGCATCGCGAAGTGGACTTGGTTCGTACAATTGTGCGGTGTTCCGGAAAAAAAAATCATAACTTTTTTGCAATGAGAGATAAAAGGCTAATTCCAAAATGAAAATAGTGTTTATTTTATCAGGATTCCTATGATATTAAACATTTATACAGGTCTGAAAATTTTAGAGGTGTTAATAATATGCCCTATTTTACACTATAATTGACAAAATGTTTTCATTGTGTTTCGCCATTTGAATTGGCATATCTCCAAAACGCAGGCCATTATGATAATAATGTGTACGTTGTTGATTTTGCCGTGTGATTGTGATTTTCTTTCAAATAATACCACATTTCCAGGGTTGAAAAAATCCAAAAATTGCCGGACTCCCTATTAAAAGTGTCAGTGATCGCGGCCGTCAATGTCAGTGGTACGTATAGAATTTCCAAGACTTGCTGGAACTGTCCTTACTGGCCTTGTTCAGCCATTCCAGTAAGGCTTCAGATACAAACTCAGGGGTATTCTTCAGAGGTTTCGAGAACGATAAACCTCGATCGAACAAGTAAATGCAACAACCATCATGTACTTTACAACAGAACGTAGTGCTTGTTGACGTTTGATACCCACTATAGGTCACCTGACTTATATACAGAGCGCAACCGGTCAATTCCAAACTAAAAGGGGGTTTCAGGCGCCAAAACAACATTCATCTATTACTTTTTTCTGTTGAAGAGCATGGTAAAATGGTGTATCTTGAAAAAACGCATTTCGAGAAAAATCTGTTTTAAAGTTCAGGGTCTTATACGTTTCTATTTTACCATTAATTAAACCTATTTTTCTACCACACATTGTGAATAATGTTGTAAATATACAGTGGAAATTTCAGCTTCTTGTCTTTGCTGTGTTTTGGATAGAGGCAATGGAAAACAGTTACACCATTTTTAACATGAAGTATCACAAACATAATTAAAAGGATTATTTTGGTAAAATGGTGTTCCTTGAGAAAGCATATCCAAAATAATGTACTATTACTGCATTTCTACGATGCGTATAACAAACTGCCTAATAACGAGGCAAAAAGGTGTATCTTTTATAGTTACGCCCAATTGCCTTGTCATATCTGGGACCAATTTCACGGCGCTGCTAAGCACACAATTTCCTGCTGACAGAGCCTCCGTCTATTTCATGGAGACCGTTAGCATAAGCGCAACAAAAGGCACGCTTACTTCAGAGGAAAAAATGCTTAACTTAGTGACGTAACAATAGAAATCTCCATGCACGCACCACCGTTAGCACGTCCATGCCGTGAAAACGTGTTCAAGGTTAGCAATGTTTTTCTGCTATGCTAAGCACAACTTTATTGCCAACTGTTAAGCCGTGAAATTAGCCGTGAAATTGGGCCCAGGTCACATCTAGCACAAAACAGGGTGTATCTCAATATGCACCCTTTTGTCAAAGAAACTGAACCAAGCAAGCACGTTTTTGCTATCTTTAAAACGGAAGACCGTGTGGACTTGAGGGTTCGTTTAATAGAAACAGCGCCCCCAATATCCCCCAAATGGTCAACATTATGTTTCACTATATATTCTTTAATGCTTGCATTATATTTTCAAAAAACAACAGTCGATTTGGTTGTCGGATTCCATTGCTTTATCTATGCAAGCCTGGTAATATGAAATGTCTACGCAGTTATCATGATGGATGAGAATAATTTCATTCGGTGCCGACAAATACATAACATATTGTGAGACTGAAGACGAGGCCACAAGCAAACGGATAATTGGTTTGTTTCTTTGTGTAGATTCCCGCAGTTACTACAATATGCATGATAACACAGCTCAAAATGTTGCTCATATAATATTTTCAGGCATAATGACTTTTCTGTAATTACCAACGGCTTAACGTCAAAACCAACTTGGCAATTGCAACAAGTGGTGTGACTTTATTTATTGAGCATACGTTAATTTATTTGAATTTTAAGCCTGATTCAGTGTTGAATGGTGGCACTTTCTCCCACGGATATTTCAAAGCTTTGGCTTAAATCTCAAGCAATGGGCTCACTCCATGTGCTTTTACGGTTACAATTACCAACAGCCAAGCCCATAGCAATCCCTGTGTAAGTTCAGCAGCTTAGCAGGGAGGGGGGGGGGGGGGGGGGGAGGGGGTAGGATCCTTGCCTCTGAGTCGCCCCCAAACTGTAAATGTGTCAGCATACTTGCATATTTTAACAGAAAGTGGGCTCCCACTCCCGCACTTTAACATCAGCCTCATTCTTATGTTGAGAACCCTGGCTACACAGCAGTTTGAAAGTGGCCTTCTCCCCCCCCCCCCGAAAAAGGGGACAAAGGGACACCCTTTATGTAACAATTTCGTAACTGTTAGTAAATCTGGATTTAAACTGCCAATTGGAACTTAAAAATCATATACATGTACTCTCTTTGCCGGTGAGGGGGTACTTGAGCGGATAGTCCATCATTTGTTTTTGTGCGTTTTGTTCGTTTGCTTCAAACTTGCTTGTAATTTCTTGAGGTGTCAGAGCAGGGGGGGGGGTTACCATTTTTTTTATTGAATTTCAATTGGAACATTGTTTTTTTGACAGATTTTTTTTTCGTTGGGGGTTGACCCTCCCCCCCCCCCGATCCGCGCCGGACAATAACCTTTTCATTCGAAGCAACCCTATAATGATATCATTTTCCACTCTTCTTTTTACCGCTGCAGCGTAGAAATGGAATAAACGAGCTGCTGAGGTTGTGGATATTTTATGAACATCAACAAAAGAGACACAACCATTAATTGCCTCTGTGCGCTGCGTTTTGATGAATGTAAATCTTAAACTCGGTGTCTGAATAAGTTTCTAGCAATATTTTCAATAATGTATATGCAGCAAGACAATTTGTATTTTTTAACCTAAATTTAAACCTTTCGAAATGTAACACAAACGTATTAACTTTCATTCATAAATACCTCAGACAGTTGAGCTATTCCTATTGGTCGAGAGCCCGTCACGTGGCCGGTCTTAAACGGATGATAAAGACATGGCTAGCTGGTCTTAAACACTTTTCCAGTGTCACAATAACAAGTAGACTCCTAAAAATGCGGTGCTTCTTCCCGTTTTATTGGTTGAACGTTCTTAATCCTCACGTAGGCATGCGCAACACTACCAGCGAGTCAGAATTTTATAGTTCTAAATTCAACACGCAACGCCCCAGGTGCGTTCTGCGCGACAACGCGCAGAACATGCTACGCGCGCGTCAATCTCCATAAAAGGGTTGTTTACATCTTACTCGCCAGCTGAACACTCCATTATTTTGCTAGAGGGATGTTTCAAAAAGCATGAAGTGAACTTGTTGAACA